AGGTCGGGGAGGGGTGGGGCCGGCCGCGGGCGGATGGAGCCTTCGGTCACGAACGTTCCGCTGCGAACGTTCCCCGCGGCGCGCGCCTGGCGCAGCCGTTCGGCCCCGTCGTAGCCGTCTCGCTTTTGTGTGGCTCGGGATGGGCTTCCGGCGAGGCCCGAGAGCGGGGCGTTCCAGGCCATTGTTTGGGCCGATCCTGTTTCCGGTGGCGGCGGGAGGGGACGGGATGGAGCGGCGGAGGCGAGGCCGGGGCGGAACCTTCCCGCCGGAGGGGCCGGGCGAGCCCAGTGACTGCTGGGAGCGGGGAGGGGGGCTTCTGGGGGCGGCGGGGTCGGGGAGAAATCTCGGGGGCTACGGAGATCCCGCTAAGATCGGGGCCTTTGACACCCCGCCCCCTTCCCCAACTCTTACGTGCTGTCATCAGCTTCCCCTGCCGTAGCTACTTTTCATGGACCCAGGAGTCCGGACACCCAGGTCCCCAGCTCCTTCGCCAGGAATGGAAGCAGAAAACCAAGGCCTCAGCCCCTTTCCAAGTAATGGACCCAGCATTTCAGGCTTCTAGCCCATTCTTCCCCCAGATCTAAGAGTTCAGGCTCCTAACCCCTTCCTCCCCCAGGACTCAAGAGTCGAGGTCCCCAGCCTTTCTCCCCCTGGTATTCAGGAATCCGGGTCCCCACCCCTTCTTCCAGCAGATATAGGAGGCCAGACCCTCACTTTCATCCTCCCCCTGAACCTAGGAGTCCTGCCATCCCTCAGATTGCAGGCATCCAGGCTCACAGGCCACAGAACTGACCTCCAACCTCTGACCTACAGAGCCGCCAGACCTGACTCCAGAGGAGCGGATGGAGCTGGAGAACATCCGGCGGCGGAAGCAGGAGCTGCTGGTGGAGATCCAGCGCCTGCGGGAGGAGCTCAGTGAAGCCATGAGCGAGGTGGAGGGTCTGGAGGCCAATGAGGGCAGGTGAGGGCTGAGGTGGGGAACTCGGGGGCCGTGGCCCCAGGTCCGAGCCAGGGATGCCCAGGCACTGACCCTCCATCCCCCTACTCTTTGCCCCTGCAGTAAGACCTTACAGCGGAACCGGAAGATGGCAATGGGCAGAAAGAAGTTCAACATGGATCCCAAGAAGGTGCTTGGGGCCACAGGGCTCGACTCGTCCTGTCGGACATCCCAGCGGGGTTCTGGCACCTCCAGGTCTCAGAAGTGTGGTGGCTGAAGGCCCGCTTTAGGCGGAGAGACTTGGTCCGAATACCTGCGTTTAGATATTGGCTGTCCGTTCGTTCTCTGAGCACTAATCAGGTGTCCCAGCCTCTGACCTTTGCTGGACCTGTGTCTTCTGCCTGAGAAATCCTCTTTCTTCTTTTTGCTCATATTTCTGGACCTACTTCTGGTGTCACCTAGAGTCCCAGGAGGAGCTCATGTCTAGTAGGGAACATACACAAAGGAGGTTGCCTAGTGCTATGATGGGGAGGTACAAGGGCTGTGGACACTCAAAGGAGGGGTCTAGTGGAGTCAGGGAGGGCTTCCCGGAGGAGGGGAGATTCAGGTCAGGTTGGAAAGATGAGTTGATGTTCACAAGGTGGAGGAAAGATGTTCGTTCATTTAGTCATTCATTTTATACCCATTTCCTGAGGCCTCCCTTGGGAGGCAGTGCTGGGGTCCCAGAGAAAAGTTTGACCCCATCTGGCCCCCAGGGAGCCCCTTGACACAGATACCACAATTCAGAGTGAGATAGCGCTATAATAGAGGTCCTCATGGCATCGGGAGACCAAAGAAGGCCCCAGTCTGGCCTGAGACTTGGCCCTCACAGCCCTTGACAGACTGCTGTCTGCTGACACTTTCTCACTTTATTCTTCCTGCCCAAAGCGATCGTAGTTTGTTTAGTCACTCAACAAACATTCACTGAGCTCTTGTTCTTTGCTGGACCCTGCTTTTGGTGCTGGAATTAACCAGGCAAAGGCAGAGGGAACAGTAGGTGCAAAGGTTATGAGGTGGGGGTAGGGGAATGGTATTTAAAGACCTGCGAGCAGCCTGGAGATGACACCTGGCCCCGTCGAGCGTGGGGGTGGGTCCGGGTGCTGAGGTTTCCGGGAACATACTGGGGAGTGGCTCTCTCAGTACTGAGACCCGGCCCCCACCCCCAGGGGATCCAGTTCTTGGTGGAAAACGAACTCCTGCAGAACACACCCGAGGAGATCGCCCGCTTTCTGTACAAAGGCGAGGGCCTGAACAAGACAGCCATCGGGGACTACCTGGGGGAGAGGTGAGACCCCTTCCTCGCTCCTCCAGGCCTCTCCCCACAGCCCCCTGCACCCAGCCCCTGCCCTCACACTGCCAGCTCCTCTGCCAAGGACAGGCCCTGACTGACACAGGGGCCTGGGGAGCCCGGGACCAGCTGGGGAAACTGGGGACTGTCTGTGAGCATCTTGGGGGCATGGGGACCTTCTATGGACATCTGGGAAGTGTGGGGACCAGCCATTTATGTATGGGGCTAGTGGGGAACGTCTGAGTGTCATGGGACCATGAGAACTGGGAACCGTGCGTAGACAACCAGTGCATTTGGGACTTGTGGGAACAGCTAGGAAGTATGGGCATTGTCAGTGGGTCTCTAGGGAACACAGAGACCCCCGCCATGGACATCTGGGAGCGTGAGGGCCATCTGTGCCCATGCGGGGTGTATGGCGACCATCTACAAGTCTAAGGTGCCTAAGATTGCACATCAGTATATGGGGACCGTCTGTGGATGTTGGGGAATTTGGGGATACTCTGGGCACCGAAGGTGCCTGGGGACCATCTGAGTGTCTGGGGTGCATGGAAACAGTCTGGACGTCTGAAGTATGCAGGACTATCTGTGGGCGTCTGGGGTGCTTAGGGGTTGTGTAGACATCTACGGTGTGTGGAATTTTTTGGGTACAGGATATGGGGACTGTCTGTAGATGCCTAGGAACCATCTATGGGCGTTTGGGATATGTAGGGACTGTAGACATCTGGGAGACGTGGGGGCCCCTCTAGGTGCTTGGAGACCATCTGTGGACATCCGAGGTGTGTGGGACTGTCCGTGGACATCTGGCATTGTGGGGATCGTTTTTGTGAAGGGCCACCAAAGCAGGGTCATGGCAACCCGCGGTCCTCGCGAGGGTGTATTCTGAACATCCCTGCCCCCGTGCCAGGCCTGCGATGGCCCAGGCCAGAACTTTCGTCCGCTGTAGAGGCAGCTGTGATGCCAAAGAGGTGGCACAGCCTCCCCAGAGCTCTGTCCGCTCCCACCTCCCCAGACTCCTTCCTGTGAGTGACTTTGTCCCTGTCCTCCCAGGGAAGAGCTGAACCTGGCAGTGCTCCACGCCTTTGTGGATCTGCACGAGTTCACCGACCTCAATCTGGTGCAGGCCCTCAGGTGAGAGGGGTGGGCTCAGAAGGGCAGCAGCGAGCGTGCCCGCCAAGGCTTTCCTTACAAGCGACGACGCCTGCTCCAAACGAAACCAGAAACAAAAGCTAGGGCACCAGTGGGCTCGCGTAGCACAGAAGTCCCCGGTAGGGCTTCCTTCAGGTATAGCTGTATCCAGGTGCTCAGATGGTGTCAGGTCAGCTCTCTGCAGATCCTCCCGCATGAGACCAGGCCCCTAGCATCCTCCAGGCCTCGTTAGCAACCTTCGCAGGAAGAATGCATGTCCCCTAAGCATGCCAGAAGTCCCACGGTCCGTGCTCCCTGGCCAGGTGGCATCAGGCGTCCAGACCTGAAACAGCTCTGAGGCTGTGAGACTTGGCACGCTTACTGACGGGTTCCCAACACGGGGACCGGGAGTGGGGACAGCGCTCTGCCCGTCCTGGCTGCCATACCCGGCCCTCTCTCACCCAGGCAATTTCTATGGAGTTTCCGCCTCCCCGGAGAGGCCCAGAAGATCGACCGGATGATGGAAGCCTTTGCACAGCGGTACTGCCAGTGCAACCCCGGGGTGTTCCAGTCCACAGGTGGGGCCTGGAGCCCGGTGCCGGGGGCTGGGGGTGGGAATGGGGCTCACACACCCATGTCGTCACCGCCCTGCTCTCTGCCACAGACACGTGCTACGTTCTGTCCTTCGCCGTGATCATGCTGAACACCAGCCTGCACAACCCCAACGTGCGGGACAAGCCGGGCCTCGAGCGCTTCGTGGCCATGAACCGGGGCATCAACGAGGGCGGGGACCTGCCTGAGGAGCTGCTCAGGGTCAGGCCCCCTCCTCCACTCCCCACGCCCCTCGGCCCGTCCCTCTTCCTGCCACAGACCCTCCCCTCGTGGGTCCCGCAGTGCCTGAGTCCTCTGCCTGGGAATCCGCCCTGCCGTGGGCGCTGTCACCATGCCATCCTGTCCTTTCTCCGGCTGCCTGTCTGTCTGTCTGTCTCTCCTCTCTGGCCCTCTGCCTTTCAGTCTTTTCGATCTTTCTGTTTCTCTGAGGACTCGGCAGGCTCTTACATCTGCGTCCGTCATCCTTCCATCTTTCTTTCCTGCTTCCTCTCCTCAGGGCTCCCTCCCCTCTTCCGCCTTCTGCTGCCCTTCCCTCCCCAGCCTCCCTCCCTCCGTGGGCCATCCTGCCTGTAGTTTCATTGCCTCCCCACTGCCAAGTGGCCCCAGGAGGGTCCCAGGGGCCTGGAGTTGCTGACCGGGCCTTTGCCCCTCAGAACCTCTACGACAGCATCCGAAATGAGCCCTTCAAGATCCCTGAGGATGATGGGAATGATCTGACCCACACCTTCTTCAACCCGGACCGGGAGGGCTGGCTCCTTAAGCTGGGTACGTCCCCACCTGACCGCCTCGGGGGCCTCTGCGGGGGAAGTTGGCGGGCCGGGCTCTGGACTCGGCTTCCGCACATACCCGCTGTGTGACCTTAGGCAGGTGATTCGACCTCTCTGGACCTGTTTCTGCATCCAGAAATGGGGCTGAAAGCAAGCTTGGGGCCTCACGTAGGGGTGGGGTTCTATCAACCTTCCGGGGTGAAGAGGAGTTAGAGGCCATCAAAGACATGCCAGGCTCTGCTTATGAATGAAGAGTCCCTGGCCAGGATGGGACAGGCGACTCTAGCAAATTCAGGATCAGCTGGCAGGGGACATACAGGTGCCTCTTCCTGAGGGTTCAAATGGTTTTCAGCCCTGGCTGCCCAAGAGAGTCACCCGGGAGCTCGCACAGCATCAGTGGTCCCACCACAGGCTCGGGAAGTCAGGACCTCTGGGGCACGGCGGGCCATCCATCACGTTGAAAGCTCCCCAGGTGGTCCCGAGTTTGAGAGCGCCAGCTTGGAGCTGTGCCCTTAACGGAAGCTGCCACGGGCGTGTCCGCTGTGGCTTTGTAACGGAGAAGCCATGAATGGCTGCTCTGGGAGACAGAGACTCTGACGAGTTACAGTCTAGTCCGCTGCGGACAGTGGAGGCAGCCAGGGCGGTGGGAGGGCCCAGCAGAAGCTTCCAGCCCAGTGGAGGGGCCAGGGCAGGCCTTCGCTCCCTCACGTCCCCCCTCCCCCAGTGTGGAATTGTGCTCTTAAGCCAAGGTGTCCTCCAGCCAACAGAAGCGGAGTCTTGGGAACAAAAACATGCAGAGCACTCCTCAGCCTGCGCGCTGAGGCGGGTGGGTTCCCGCATCAGCTCCAAGGAGACCGAGGGCTCTGGGGATTTGAGTTCTGTCAGGACAG